GCTCGAGCTGCCAATCCCACGCTCGAGCGTACAACGCTGCACAGGAAAATACTGAATGGGTGTAATCTCCGCTCGAGCGCTAAAACCCCCGCTCGAGCGTACAGGCCAAAAATCTGGGCAACTAGTTTTGGTTTCTAAACTCGACCAACCTGAAACAAATCCACCCAAACCAACCTGAAACAAATCCACCCAACACATCCTATAACTCAAATACGAAGTAAAAAGGATGTAAACAAAATAATAAACAACTACCAACATCCACGGACACATGTCCGGATCACTGTACAACAAGGGTAAACCCGGGATCGCTATAAAAATACTCTGAAATTCAATGGTTAAAAGCCCCAAAAAGATGGTTTGAAAATGGGAAACACAAGTAAAGAAGCCTTACAACCAAGGTACAAAGAAGGGTGAACCACCCCCTACTTTAAAATGGCTTCAAACCACAAATTTCAGCCCATTTTGATAGAGTTTTTATAGCCCAAAAACAACCCAAAAAACAATAATAAAAAAAAAGGTAGGGAAAATAATAAGAAGTATGCAAAGTAAGCTTACAAAGCAAATATTATACCTCTTGAAGGGAAGAGTGATTCCAGGTAACAATTCAAACCAAAACCAACTTGTAGAGCTCCAAGACGGCCTCAAAGAATCTCAGCTCAAAGGTGATCAAGTTTCCTTAAGGAAACCAAGGCAAGAGTGTAGTGTAAGTAGGAAAACGTGTAGAAAATTGCAAGAGAGAGAGAGAGAGAGCTAAATCTAGAGAAAGAGAGAATTTTTGTTCCAAAATTTTTAACCCTCAAAAATGGGGGAGGAACCCCCATATATATTGAAAACACGAAATCTATACAAGGAGATCTAGCCCTCCACGTGTGGACAAATGCAAGCATCTATGTAAACAGTTGGCACATCTGGCATAAAATATTTGCAGAAAGCACTGGAGGTCGGCCGACCATCAATGATGGCCGACAAAGCATCATTGATGGCCGGTAAGGCACATCAATGGCCGGCAGACCAGAAGCTCCGGCCGGCAGCCTTCAAGGATGGCCAGTAGGCCATCAAAAACTGCAGGCTGGAAGGACCAAGGCATGGTCTAAAAATGAGACAAAATGGATGCAAAGGTTGAGAGGCTCAAACTTGTGGCGTTCCGCGGAAGACTTCGAGTGCTTGGCGAGAAAATAGACTACTCATCATCGGATGTACCTGTAAGAACATCCAAGTCTTGAAGGGTCGTTAAAAATGGGATGTCTACAGGTCCAGAGGGTTTGGGGGATATCTGAACTGTCTGAAGCAATGATGTTATACTACCTAGCAAAAAGAAAGAATGCAAAAAGAAAGCAGCAATCAAAAACCGCACAGCACCTCAGTTCAAATGTTATCAAAATATACTAAAAAATTAAAATATTTCTTTTGAAGAAATCTAAAAAGAAATCAACAAATACAAAAATAAAATGTATATATATACTAAATTTTTATAATTTTTTTTTTTTTGACATTTAGTAAGAATTTTCAAATTTTATATTTTTTAAGTCTATTTAGATTAGCGAATTTACCTTAAAATAATAATAATTAAAATATTAAAAAATTCATTAAAAATTAAAAAATATTAATTGAAATTCCAAAAGCTGCAATAGGCTGATTCATTTGATAGAAAAGAAAACTATATTGTTGATGTGCAGAGTCAAATGGTGTGTGTGGTTTGTTTTTGAGAGAGTGATTTTAAAAAAAAAAAAATTTGGGGAGAGAGTTTAGAAATTTTTTTGGTTTATTTGGTTGTATATTTTGAAAATAGTTTTGGAGTTTGAAAGTTTGGGATGATTTGATATTTTATTGTAATTGAGTAGATGTGTGTGAGAAAAAAAAATGATTGAGAAGGAGAGAGAAAAGAGAAAAAGTGATTGATTGATGTGTAAGAGAGAAAAAGTGATTTTGAAAATTTTTTGAAAAAAATTACAAACCAAACAAAATTTTAAAAAAAAAATTCAAAAACAAATCTTCTAAAAACAAACCAAACAAGTTCTTATTCATCTCTTCCTTTGGAAATCTACTCTCTCTCTCTCTCTCTCTTCTTTATTTTTCTCCGATCTCGCTGTAGCACAGGCAACCTCAATAGGGATGGATATGTGTTTCCCTTTTTTTTTTTTTTTTTTTTCAATATTTTAGGAAGTTTGATTTGTTAATAAAATTAATGTATAACAGTGTAGCACTTGAAAGGATCGCCTTCAACCCACCAGTTCAAAAACCTAACATTTCACTCATTTTTTTTATATATTTTTTTAAATCTTTATCAAAATTCATAATACAAACACAGTTTAAAGGATTTGTCAAACTGAAGCTACTGGGTACCCCAAGTGACAATCTGGTGCGACCTATCCACAAAATAATTTACAGGAGATGAAAACAAACAAGTCCACATTCCATCTCAATAAAGTGGAATGAAGTTGATTTAAATGTGAAGTTCATGAATTTAGACAAAACAATGGTGAGGATAAATTTGCATGACGAAAAAAAAAAGAAAAGGAGAAATTATAATATATATATATATATATCTGAGGATTTAATCATTGTGACAAAATAAACTTTAAAATTTTTAATTTTATCAATTTAAACCCTAATCTTTTAATTTATTTTCAATATAAGTTATTCGTCTATTTTCATTAAGTAAAACTAATGAAAAAAATATGTTATAGTTATTAAATTTAATTTAGGTATACATAATATATCTAAAATACTATTTTAATTGAGTTTAATAACTAAAATTTTATTTTATTTTTTCCATTAGTTTTTACTTAACGAAAATAGATAAATAGTTTAGATTGAAAAAAATTAAAAAATATAAGTTTTAATTTGATAAAATTAAAAATTAATTTTGTTATAAAGCTCAAACCTTAAGATTCTTTTAAAATAATTGTTTTTAAATTTTTTTACTATATTTAAATAGAGTGCTGTTATTAGCACTCCATCAATTATTTTGTGTGGTAGGGGAGGGAGTTCGGAATTAGGGTACAGAGAAGGGACAATTGATCCTCAACCCTCAAGTAAAGTCTCAAGTAGGATGGTAAGGCCTAGCAATTGGGTCTTCTGTGTTCTGTGTTTCAATTGCGAAAAGATGCCTTTCCTTTTTCCTAATTAAGCCTTTTGGTTCCCACTTCTTTGAGTTGTTTTGTAGAACTGAGAAATTTTAAAGTTTTTACAAAATTGATAGGTTTGTCAACTGTCATAAAATTTCACAGTTATGTACAAAAACATGACATTTTTTGAATTTTTTATTTGCAAAAAGATTTTTGAAAGAAAGTTCAAGACAAGATAAAAGTGAAAAATATATAAATTTTTTAAATTTTCCTTTGTCTTTTCAATTCTCTTCACAAATAGCTTCTCCAATCCAAGATCTCGGCAAAACCTAAACGATTCATGTTTGCTGTAAATTTTGCTACAACAACAAAAAGACGTTGCATGGAACACACAAAAAGGGAATAAAAAAAGATTTGTAACAGTTCCAAGTAGTTTTGGCAGAACATCGTTGGTTTTGGCAGAACATCCTTAGGTCATGACCAATTTGTTTAATGTTAAGTTTTTGTAATTGGGAATTCCATTTGACAAAACTCCTTTTAGTTGTAATTTTATTCGTTTTTATGTTTCAGTGAGGATGGGAGTGTTTAGATGCGAATACAACCCGAATTATGTTTTTGCAGAGGAGTTTGTGAACTTGAGGCTTTCATATTTGTCACTTCGCTCAAGCGGTTATTTGTGCGTTTGAGCGGTGAATGGCATCATCCAATATTTTTGCAGAACAAACTGAACTTCCAAGAGAATCCTTTATGCACTCGAGTAGTAGAGCCTTGGCTCGAGCAATGGGCACGCATTTTAGTGAGTTCTCTCGAGCGATTGAGTGGTCGCTCGAGCGGTTTTCTCAGCTCTGTTTTCTATAAAGTGCGTTGTTCGCTATTTTTAGGGTTTAAGTCGTCCAGAATCTTAGATAGAAAGAAAAAGTGTTTTCTATTAGATGCTGTTTTATATGAGTTTCCTTGGTGTATAGAAGGTGATCGATTGATTAACGAATTACAGATTGTCAAACATCAAGGCTTGTTCTTATTATTTTGTTCACAAAACAGAGAGTTGTTCTTCGGTGGATTTTGGAAAACTTGAGCTTAAAGCTTTGGTAGATTCTAGAGTGGTTCATCGTCGTAAATTTGACATCAGCGTTGTGGATTCATCGATGGACAAGACAATTCCGAGGTAAAGACGGTGGTTGTGACAACCCCGCCATGTATAATATTTTATATTTGGTTAATTAAGGAGATTTGGGATTTTAATTAGTCGTTATCCTAATTTAGTTTGGGATTTATGATAATTGTGGAATCTGATTCGTATATGATTCTTTTAAAGATTTATTTTGCAATTAGAAATTAAGGGTCCAAATGGCTTAAGGACGTGAAATTAAGAAGTTGAATCAATTTAATTTTTAATTACGGACCCATTTGGGAGTTTAATTAAATATTCGATTCCGTTTAGTAGAATTGAGATTCGATTAATTAGGTCTGAATTGGAGTTAATTAGGTTAATTAAATTATGAGGATTGAGAATTGTGATTATTACGAATTAAATTTATTTATGGGGTGTCCAATTTGAATATGTAATTTATTGACAGAAATTTGGAGTCTGATTAGAAATTGAAGGCCTGAATGGTTTGAGAAATCAAAATTGATGATGACAATAAGTTTAATTTAATATTTGGAGCCTTTTGGGAGTTTGATTAAAAAAAATAAAAAATAAAAAATCTGATTCAGATTAATAAATTTAAATATTATTAATTGGGCTCTAAAGGAAGTCAGATTAGACTAATTAAATTAAATGGGATTTGGGATTAGTCATGATTGATTTAATTATGTGTTAATCAAGATTTATTAAGACTAAGTGTTGCTTAGTTAAATTAATTTTGATCATACAGTAAATTGTAGAATAATCGAGAATTGGGTGTGTTTGTGGGTGTGTGTGTGTGTGTTGAGAAAGTCTGGATGTGAAAAGAAGGTTGTGTGTGTGTTTATTCATTGTTTATATGTTGTATTAGATAGAGCCCATTGAATTCATTCTTTGACATTCAGGAAGAGAGCTTGAGCCGTAAAGAGAGAGAGAGAGAGAGAGAGAGAGAGAGAAGGAAGGAACTCAAGGCTTGAGAATTGAAGGAAGAACAAAGGAGAAGAGGGTTTTGTGGGATATCAAGAGTCAAGCAAAATATTGTGGAAAAATCATCATAAGGTTAGAAATTTCATCTTTTTTTTAGTATAGTTAAAATAATCTAGACATAAATTGATTCAAGATGGATTTTTAGAGGATTAAAAATGAAGATTTGAAGATTAATTATTTAAATTCGCTTTTACATATCTTGAGTTAAAGATGATGAATTTTTTTTTATTTTAGATCTATTATGATTTGGGTTTGATTGTTGAGTTTTATACTCTCAATCAGTTTCTATGAGTGCTTTACATGTAGAAAAATGATCAATTTGATGGTTGTTTTGGAGATTAAGATTTGGGTTAATCTAGGGTTTGAATGTGATGTAAAAATTAAGAATTTTGGTGTTTGGAAATTTATATGTTGAAATTGACTTGATAAATGGTAGATTGGGTATCTCTATGTTCTATGGAGGAATTTTATAAATGATTGAAGTGGTTTTACTTAAGTTGTTGAGTTTATGAAAATGTTGATTTTTGACTTTTGTAGTTAATTGATGGTGGTATTGTGCATACAAATTGATTGGATATTTAAAAAGTTTATTAACTCAAAAAAATGTACAAAGGATGGGTGTTGTGGAGATTGGATAAGAAGTTTGTTTGGGTGACTTGAAGTTGGATGAGTTCTTTAGCTTGTCATTCCATAGCATGTCTTATTTAGGATAAATTTTGTAGATGTTGTAATTTTCATTGAAAGCTTTTCCTTAATTTTAGATCCTATTTACCAATTGTTAGGATTGGAGGGAGGCGTCTCTACACCTCTTGGGAATTAATTCGTAGAGTTTCAATCTATGCTTTTGCTAATTTGGAGGTGAGTATACTTACCATGGAAATTGCCTTACCTCTATCTTTATTACAAAGTTTGAAAATAATTTTTGAATTAAAGGAAATGAATGATACATTTCATCATGATATATGTATGAAAAGAAAATCTATAAATTTATTGAGGCCAAGGGTTGAGTTTTAATAAAGATATGATTTCATTTGTATAATGAAGCACTAATTTTTTTATGAGAATTTATTCAAGTTGAGTCCTTCAAAGTTTATGATGATGATGATTAAATGACAATGAAACGTCATGCGAGAGTATTTATTTTTATTGGTCATGTAACCGAGTATAGCCTTTGGGGCCACAAGGGCCAAAATGCTTTGGGGTCCTGGGGACCGAAATGTTTTAAGGACCATAAGGGTCGTTGTATGTATAAGGGGTCCCGGGGACCGAAACATTGAAACGAGAATTGAAGTGCTACGATGACATGAGCTATGTTCCTATGGTTATGTTTTGGGTAACGGTACCGTCACCACCTAAGTCGCAAGGTAACGCGACCCTAAGGCTATGTAGTGGTTCGTATGATGGACATGAAATCTTAATGTATTAAAAAGCTGTATTTTTGTTTACTCTCCTTATTCAAATGTATTTTTCCTGCATTATGAGATTCTTTGAAAAAAAAATCTTGATAATGGTTTATGCAAAAAATTTCTCATTTTTATAAATTTCAGTCCAATTAAACTCTTGTGTTTATTATCTTATTTTGAACCCAATTGGAAGGAGCAAGCTTTATAACTCCATGGAATTGGTATACTCATCGGGCTCTAGCTCATTCTTTTTTTTACTCATTGGGCTTTAGCTCATTCTTTTAAATAATTTTTTTTTTCAGATTCATAGACTTTTGTGTGGCTCGCCTCAACTTGGAAGACTAGAATTTTTTTGAAGGATCACAGGTGGGCATCTTGTGGTTGAGGTTTTGCTTAGGGTCATTCTAGGATGTAAGCTTACCCTTTTTTTTTTATGAAGGAGGTTGATTGTAAAATTTGCTTATGAAGTTGGATGTATTGATGGATTCGTGATTAGTATGTATTATATTTTTTTTTGGAGGAAATGCTTGGGAACTATCTTGTAGCATGATAATACTTTTTTTTGTCTTTGAATAGATCATCTCATATATGTTAGGCAATTGAAAGGTCTTATGCACTTTTGGTGATGTGGTGATGTGATGTAAGAGTTACACAGGAATTGTGGTGTAAAGGTGCTATAGCGTTTGAGGTGCACCCTCTTGGCAAGGTTTTTGCCTTGCCAAGATTGGGTCGTTACATTTTTGGTATCAGAGCACGAGTTAATATCTCACACACGAGTCCGTTGAGCGTTAGAATGTCTAGAACGAGATTAAGTTGCATGCATCTAATAAGTAAGTGATAAGTTGTGCACTTGGGAATATATGTGTTTGTGTAATAGATTTAAGTATTAAAACCAAGAATTAAGAGTTGTAGGGTATTTTGTTGCTTATAAGAGGACCGAAATGTGTTTGTTTAATAAGTGTGGTATTGAGGCTAAGAGCCAAGAACTATTGGGGAACTTTTTCACATTATAAGTAAATATTAGTGAGTACAAGTATAATGATCTGCGAGAATGTAGGATTATAAGAACTAAAGGTTATTTTGGAATTTCGATGATTAAGAAGGACTGGGATATGTGTGTTCAACAAGTTTAGTGTTGAAGATAAGAGTTATTGTGAAATTTTCTTTTTATGCTATAAGGGAAATGTAATTTTTGATCATAGCACATTGGTGAGTACATGCATATTGATTCATGTGAACACAGTATTAAACAGAATTAAAAGTTTTTGATGGAAGTTAGGAAGGCTATGTGGTTAAATGTAAAATTAGACTATGAGAACATTTTAGGAAGTTAAAGTATTTGATGATTGATGAAGTGTGTCGAACTATGGTGATTGAGAGTTAGGAAACTATTTGATATGAAGATGATATGCTATTTTGGTGAAGGACCTACTATATGAACCATGGAAGTTCATACTTATGTTGATGACCTTGAAAGTCCAATTAGAATCACGTTCGGCCAACATAGTTTCGAATCGGAAATTCTTGATCAACTTCATGGGAATGAATAGGTTGCCCTACCAATCTCTTTGCAAAAAAAAAAAAGAATTGTTTAATTATGGTTGAATTTGTGATGTATGATTTAGGTTATCCAATATTACCCCGAATGCTATCTATCTTGTCTTGTGACTCAAAGAAAAGATAATGAGAAGAAAGAACGAAATGGAAGTTGAGTCTATGTTGGAGCAATTGGGCAAAATAGAGGAAGTGTTAAGAAATATAATGAAAGCTAGGCAATAATGCTATGGGAAACTGCAAGATTATAAGAAAAGTAAAGTGTTAAGTCAAAGAAGGAATTACATAATATGTTTGAGAAGCAGAGTATTAAGTGTTAAGCAAAGTTTGGAGTGGTAAGAAATTTTAAGCAAGATATAAGTTCATTCCCCAAATGTTCGATTTGTTGCAAATATTATAACGGGGTATATCATCGAATTTTAAGAGCATACTACAAATATGGAGAGATAGAACAACTAACGAAGGATTATTTAGGAGTAATAAAATTTTAAGGAGATTTCAAGTCAGCCAGTCAGTTTAAAGATTAGTTTCTAACCCAATTGCTAAGTAAAGGAGTACTTTAAGCATGTGTATAGAATTTTGAGTTGTTATGTCATATATGTTTTGGGATATGTGAATCTTTCCTACCTAATGTTTGGCAGACATAAGATACATTTACTTGGATTTTGGAACTCCATCTGAAAATGCTAAGAATATTAGAGTATGACCAAGACTTAGATTTATTGTAAAGAAGCTTGTATCTAGTACTACTACTTAGAAGAGTTATTACGAAATGAAAAGCAAGAAAATATTTTTGCCGAAGTCATGAATGCATATTTCTTAAGAACCTCTTAGGACAAAGAATTTGAATTGACTAACTTGCAAAGGATTGAGAAAGACAAAATTTGGTTTCAAAATACTTTGATGATAGCTTTGATGCTACTGGATGGTTGAAGTAAGTTATATATGCATACAAGAGAATTGGACAATTTAGAATTTATTTGCTTAGGCATTTGGAGCCCAATATGAGATTGTTAAGACAATTAGAATAAGATTGTTATTTCAGGTACCTCAACTAATTGTGAGTAAAGTGTCCACACGTTAATTGATTCAAGACCCATCCATTCATTTGAAGCTAATTGTTATAAGATGAATGTATCATTGGAAATATTATTATATAATAATAAATAACTAAATAAAAAAAATGTTTTTTTTTCGTTAGTTGGAGAATTATATTACATGGGAACTTGTACTATGATTATGGATCGATATGGACCCTAGAATGTAACGTTTTGAGTGAATGGATTTTCTATCTCTCAAGTGGATGTGATCATACACCTAAGCGAGTCGTCTTTGACTTTTGAGATTAAACAGTTATTTTGTGGAACCAATGGAGTAAAACCCCAGCCTATTTGATTTGTCAATAAGGCCATTGTGGTCCGAGTATTTGTGGACCCAAAAAAAAAAAAAAATTGAATTTGTCATTAAGGCTGTGTTAAATACTTAGTCTATTTTGGAGACTTCATATGAGATGTCAATAATGGAGTATTTTGATTTATTTGAAGTTAAGTTGGATCACGAATATCATTTGTGATTGATCCTCAATGAATTGGAGACGTGTGGATTATTTGGCGATATGTGAATTATTGGAGACATGTGAATGGATGAGTAGAAGTATATGAATTAAGTGATTGACGAGAATAGTACATTGTGATTAATATGTTTCATGGTTTAATGTTATGAGGTTGATTTCAAGGTCTAGTACATATTATTGATTACTGAATGACCCTTGATGACAATATAGATTATGATGAATCACCAATTTGGGTTATTAACCAACAAATAAATGAGAATGAGTCGAACTCCTGTGATGAGAAAATCGAATGGTAAGAAAGTTACTTCGAAAGGAGGAATGAAATGAAGCAAAGCTATTTGATTCGTTTTTAAGTACAAGTGACTTAAGTTTGGAGGACCAAACTTTCTAAGGGGGAGAGATTGTGACAACCCCGCCACGTATAATATTTTATATTTGGTTAATTAAGGAGATTTGGGATTTTAATTAGTCGTTATCCTAATTTAGTTTGGGATTTATGATAATTGTGGAATCTGATTCGTATATGATTCTTTTAAAGATTTATTTTGCAATTAGAAATTAAGGGTCCAAATGGCTTAAGGACGTGAAATTAAGAAGTTGAATCAATTTAATTTTTAATTACGGACCCATTTGGGAGTTTAATTAAATATTCAATTCAGTTTAGTAGAATTGAGATTCGATTAATTAGGTCTGAATTGGAGTTAATTAGGTTAATTAAATTATGAGGATTGAGAATTGTGATTATTACGAATTAAATTTATTTATGGGGTGTCCAATTTGAATATGTAATTTATTGACGGAAATTTGGAATCTGATTAGAAATTGAAGGCCTAAATGGTTTGAGAAATCAAAATTGATGATGACAATAAGTTTAATTTAATATTTGGAGCCTTTTGGGAGTTTGATTAAAAAAAAAAAAAATCTGATTCAGATTAATAAATTTAAATATTATTAATTGGGCTCTAAAGGAAGTCATATTAGACTAATTAAATTAAGTGGGATTTGGGATTAGTCATGATTGATTTAATTATGTGTTAATCAAGATTTATTAAGACTAAGTGTTGCTTAGTTAAATTAATTTTGATCATACAGTAAATTGTAGAATAATCTAGAATTGGGTGTGTTTGTGGGTGTGTGTGTGTTGAGAAAATCTGGATGTGAAAAGAAGGCTGTGTGTGTGTTTGTTCATTGTTTATACGTTGTATTAGATAGAGCCCATTGAATTCATTCTTTGACATTCAGGAAGAGAGCTTGAGCCGTAAAGAGAGAAAGGCCCAGAGAGAGAGAGAGAGAGAAAGAGAGAGAGAGAGAGGGACAAAAAGATAAAGAGATAGAAAGTGGGAGACAGAAAAAGAGACAGAGAGAGAAAAGAGATGAACGAAAGAGACAGAGAGAGAGAGATAGAGAGAAGAGAGATGAGCGAGAGAGACATAGAGAGAAAAGAGATGAACGAGAGAGACAGAGAGAGAGATAGAGAAGAGAGATGAGCGAGAAAGACAGAGAGAGATGAAAGATGAGAGAGATAGAGAGAAGAGAGATGAGCGAGAGAGACATAGAGAGAAAAGAGATGAACGAGAGAGACAGAGAGAGAGATAGAGAAGAGAGATGAGCGAGAAAGACAGAGAGAGATGAAAGATGAGAGAGATAGAGAGAAGAGAGATGAGCGAGAGAGACATAGAGAGAAAAGAGATGAACGAGAGAGACAGAGAGAGAGATAGAGAAGAGAGATGAGCGAGAAAGACAGAGAGAGATGAAAGATGAGAGAGATAGAGAGAAGAGAGATGAGCGAGAGAGACATAGAGAGAAAAGAGATGAACGAGAGAGACAGAGAGAGAGATAGAGAAGAGAGATGAGCGAGAAAGACAGAGAGAGATGAAAGATGAGAGAGATAGAGAGAAGAGAGATGAGCGAGAGAGACATAGAGAGAAAAGAGATGAACGAGAGAGACAGAGAGAGAGATAGAGAAGAGAGATGAGCGAGAAAGACAGAGAGAGATGAAAGATGAGAGAGATAGAGAGAAGAGAGATGAGCGAGAGAGACATAGAGAGAAAAGAGATGAACGAGAGAGACAGAGAGAGAGATAGAGAAGAGAGATGAGCGAGAAAGACAGAGAGAGATGAAAGATGAGAGAGATAGAGAGAAGAGAGATGAGCGAGAGAGACATAGAGAGAAAAGAGATGAACGAGAGAGACAGAGAGAGAGATAGAGAAGAGAGATGAGCGAGAAAGACAGAGAGAGATGAAAGATGAGAGAGATAGAGAGAAGAGAGATGAGCGAGAGAGACATAGAGAGAAAAGAGATGAACGAGAGAGACAGAGAGAGAGATAGAGAAGAGAGATGAGCGAGAAAGACAGAGAGAGATGAAAAATGCTTTGGGGTCCTGGGGACCGAAATGTTTTAAGGACCATAAGGGTCGTTGCACATGTAGGGTCCTAGGGACCGAAACACTGAAATGAGAATTGGAGTGCTACGATGACATGAGTTATGTTCCTATGGTTA